AAACACAGATGTCTTGGCCCCATCTCCAGAAATCTGGGCACCAGGGTTCCAAACGATTCCCCAGGTGAGCATAATGAGCAACTGAGAACTGTTGATTTCAAATACTCAGTGTTCCAGAGGCCCCTGGAAAGCTCATTCAAACATAGATTTTTGGGGACCCACACCCAGAATATCTGATTCAGGTGGCCCAGGGACCAGGAAACTGAACATCTGCATTTTTATCCTGGTTCCAGATGATGCTGATGCCGCCAGTTTAGGGACCACACTTAGAGGACCATTAGGATAGAAGGATGGGGTTGGGGCTAGGATTGGCATTTTTAAACATGCAACCAAGGGATTCTGATGCCGAGGGTCTAAGACCCACTTGTAGAAAAAATGTTCTGTGTGGGCTGGGCAAACAGGTTTAGCCACAGAGCTGTGAAATGTCATGCTAGCACCCAGGATCCTGTGTGCTTTGTTTCTCTGTTCAGTAGCACTGTTCCAATCTTTTATTCCTATCTTCCAGTCCAAGTGACCATTTCTAGATCCACTCCCCTCTCCTAAAGGATGTGTTTCCTTCCCACCCCGGCACAAGAGAGGCAGAATAAGATAGTGATTAAGAGGACAGACTTTGGACCAACTGACTGAGATAAATCCTTGAGGTCAAGTTTCTTAATTTCTCAGGCTTCAGGTTCCCCATGGGTAAAATGGGGCACCTGGCTCAGAGAGCTGATTAAACGAGCGCTGCATGTTAGATGCTATGAAGAAGGATTGGTGCATGTTAAATGCTATATGTATGTTGGCTACTATTCCGAGTCCTTCTTCCTGGGAAGTAGATAAATTGGACTTCCTCTGGGAATGCAGAAGTTTTCACAAGTCTCCTGGCTGAAAGGGGTTTGGGAGCTCTCTTTCAGCTCCCCTCGCATTTGATGTATATTTCCACAATGGCACTATTTTGCTTTATCAGTTAATTTTTCTCCCCTTGTCCACAGATAGGTGAGGACCACTGTAGGGAAGGACTGTGTCTTACTCATTTTTTTTATTCCCAGCACCTAACATAATACTGATCGCAAGATATGCTCTTAATAGATGTCTGTTGAGCCCTGACCTGGTGGTTCAGTTGATTGGAGCATTGTCTCATACACCAAAAGGTTGCAGGTTCAATTCCTGGTCAGGGCACATATCTAAGTTGTAGGTTTGATCCCCAGTCAGGGCATGTGTGGGAGACAACCAATCAGTTTCTCTCTCACATTGATGTTTTTTTCTCTCTCTCTCAAATCAATAGAAACATATGTTCAGGTGAGGAAATAAATAAATAAATAAATAAATAAATAAATAAATATCTGTTGAACAACTAAATGATGCAGCTGGAAAAAAATTATCTTGCTGTTTTGGAAGTTGCTTAGTGGGGAGAAATAACTCTCCATCATACAACTGGTCTTTCTGCTGAAACATAGGTGTAAGGGTGAGAGTTCATGACAGTGTTTGCACCTATGCCTGCTGATGGTAAAGCCACAGAATATCCCAATGATGGGTGCATTTATAAGACTGCAAATATTCTATAGCAAAAGGCACACTCTCTGATCTCTCACAAAGGCTGCTTCTTCTTATTGGACACACAGAATACATTTTCCAGCCTCCCTTGCAGCTATGTGGGGCCAAATCATCAGGTCATGCCAATAAAATTTAAGCAGATGTGATGTGTGTTATCTCCAAGCTGAGGGGCTTAATAGCATGTGTACATTTTTCAGGCTGCATTTCCCCCCTTGGCTGAGCTGGATATAGAGCATCCATTGGATAACTCTCAGGCCCTAACAGTTGGAGGAGTGCCAAGATGGAAGGAGCCTGGGTTCTTGAATGACTGAGAGGAGCTGAGTTCCCCTTACCCTGTCTCCCATTTAAAATTAAAAATGAACTTCTATTATTTAAATTACTGAATTTGAAAGTTTTGTTACTTCACCTTACTCTAAAACATGAGACAGTAGAAGTCCCTACTTGGGGGGGTCTTAAAATTTATTGGTGGGGAGGTCTCATTTGGACAACTCTTGAAGCATATGTTCATGTGGATTCTCAAGGGCCACACTATTGCCAATGTCTAACAACACAGTGGCCTTGTCAAAGGAAGCAGCCAATACATTTCTTTTACCAAATTAATTTTCCATATGCATTTTTACAGTAAAATATACAAGAAAACTGATCTGCTGATTTCTTCCTTTTTATAAACAAAACTATTTTTTTTTTTTTTTGGAAAAAAGGAAGAACCTCAAAGACCCCTGACTGGAAAAAAAACTTCTCTCCTAGGATAATTGGTGTGATTTTAAAATTATAGTCTTTCCAGAAAAATGTGGCTGCTGGTGCCTCCTTGGGGCTTCTGTGGAATAGAGTCTTTATGAGGTACGCCTCATAGAAGACCAAAAGCCACATACTGTAAACTGGGTTTTGCTTGGCTCCATTTCCTCATCATCCTCATTTATTCTCCCCACCAATTTTATATTACTGGGTGGTAAACTCACCATATTCTGGTTGCTCTTTGGTTTCAAAAGTCCGGTGGCCTGGGGCCGGACGGTCCCACCCCCGGGGAGGGTTGAGGAAGTTGCTGTCATCTGAGGTACTGTCGTACTTGTAGTCCTGGTCCCCGCTGTTGGCCCTTGACAAGGACAAGGACCTCTGCCACCAGGCCCACCAGTCAGGGGATGGGACTGACCAGCTGGGCTTATTCTCCGGATGCTGATCTTTATCTGCTTCAGAGTCAGGACCGTCCACCACCTCTATGGTGACCTGAAGAATTCAGAACAGGCCAGGGTCAATGAGGAGTCAATAGCCTCCAAGCTGGGTGACCCTTGAAAGAAAGTCTGGGATACCAGAGGCAAATGATGGATGTGTCCCTCATGAAGGATAGCAGAGACTGCATGGTGATACAGAATGGCAAACATCCAGGGATGGCCCAAGTGAACCCCACGATTACAGAGAATGAAGTACATGGACCTTGGGTGGAAGGAGACAATTCATCACTAGGGTCACTGGTCTACTGAAGATTACATTGCTGGGAAGTCTCTAATTCAAGGAGTAAACATGTATTATACATGTTCCTGAAGTGCCTCAAGAATAATTATAATAAAACTGAACACTTATTGAGTACTATCTCTGTACCAGGTATGGTTCCAAGTGCTCTGCCATATATTAACTTAGTTAATCCTCATAATGACCTTATAAGTTTGGTTGATTGGCCCCTATAATTGATGATCTGCAAAGATGGTCCAGATAATCCCTCCCATCCTTGTACGTGGGTGCTACCCCTCACATCAAGAGGTGCAGTTGACTTCCTCTCCCTTTCTATCTGGGCTGGCCTTGTGACACACTTTGACCAGTAGACTGTGGGAGGAGTTACAATGAGACAAATCTCACGAGGTCTTGCAGCTTCCATTTTCATTCTCTTGGAATGTTCCTACCATTAGGTAAGGAAGCCCAGCCTAGACGACTGTTCACATAGAGACCACATGAAGAGAGAGGCCGCAGAGAAGAGAACTGAGGCTCCTCAGCCACTGGCCAGCTCCATGGTCCCAGTCGTATGAGTGGGGCCATCTTGGGTCCTGCAGCCCAGTTGGGTCATCCCATCTGATATCATGTGATACAGAGATGAGCTCTGCCGGTTGAGCCCTGCTCCAATTCATAAACCATAGGGACCATGAGCAATCCGATGGTTACTGCTTCAAGCTACTGAGTTTTGGGGTGGTTGTCAGACAGCAATGTATAGCTTTTTATAGACAGAGAAAACTAGCACACAGAGAAGTTAACAACTTGCCTAAGTCACACAGCTAGTATCTGGCAGAAATGACTAGTGTAGCTCAAGAGCCCACGCTCTTACCCCAACTTTGCTACACTGCCCCTCTCAACAAGTAAGGAACAGAGGTATTGTCCCCTCATGCAACCAAGGGAGCAAAGAGACCACAGATGCGGGTGATGCTGGATGCCACAGGTTGTGTAGAGATGTGAACACAAGGTCCTCAATGTCCAGGCTTTCACAGCTGGGATTTTCACTTGTTCTGAGGTCCAGACCCAGCACATACACCCTTCAACCAACCCTCAGGTTCAAAACAGATAGTCCCAGAGCCAAGGTTAGAACTTGCTCTCTAATTTACTGAGCCTCATTTGGAAGTCACAGGGCTGGAAGAATGCAGCTTCTTTGGCTCTGAGAGACAATCAACGTAGAGAAACTTGTTTCAAAAATATAATAAAAACTCATCGGGTTCCTTTGGCCATCACATAGCTCTTGCAACACCCCCTGGATGAGTTATGTGCAAATGAATCAGAAACACGTGCTCCAAGTAATCAGCGCAAGATGTACTGGGCAGATGGATTTCTAGTTTTGCCCTAACCAGACATTTGAGAGAGTTGCTGGTATGCTCTGCCAAATTGCACCAGGGTGTGCCCATCCTGAGACAAACAGCCTCTTCCTTTTGTGTTAGGAATGGGAAATTTTGCATTCTGCTCCCTTTACCATTCAAAGGAAGTTGCCCAGCTGATGGTGAGCCTGGGCGGTGGCCTTGTGTGGTCCAAACACAAGATCAAGAGTGTGGCCTTCAATACCAGAGTATACTTGGGCTGCAGCAGGTCAAGTGTATCTTTCCTCTGGTGTGGAATGCCTAGAAGCACACCGTTCGATTTATTCCATGCTACCACCATTACCCCAGTCTTTGCATATCTATCACAATAAAAGCATAATATGCTAATTAGACCAACATCCTTCTGGACGTTCTTCCATCCTTCAGGACAAAGCTGGGGTTGTGAGGGAAGCCCGGGTCCCGGGTGCCTGCAGGTGGCTGGAGGGAAGCCCAGGTTCCTGGTGCCAGAGGAAAGCCGGTGCCGGCAGCTGGGGTAAGGAAGGCCTACTCCTGCATGAATTTCATGCATCAGGCCTCTAGTGTATAAAGAATGATGAAATTTTTAGTAATCACCCAAAAAGAAAAAAAGAGAGAAGAAAATGAATGCATTGTATGTCTTGTATCATTGCTGTTTGCTAGAACGGATGGCTGCTGGGGAATGACAGTGACTGGGACCCACACACAACCCCGGAAGGACAAGTGGAGGAGGCGTGCACAGCTGGGGAGTGACAGGCTACTGAGCCTTGGAGACATACCCTTTCTCCTCTGCAGTCCCATCCCCCTCAGCCTGCAGACAGAACAACTGAGCCTCAACAATCGTCTGCATGGCTGTTAAGGGTCTTGGAGGGGAGAAGCTGCCAAGAGCCAGGCAAGCCTGCAATTATGGTAATGAAATCAGTCTCTGGGTAGAAGATAAGGGGGAACATGCCCAATGGTTTTGGTATTCCATTTGTATTCAGACTGGAGTCAAAGGGATTGCCTAAACAAAACGTGCCCTGCAATTTCTCCAAGCTGGGAATAAAAACAATTTCATGTTTTAAGCTATTACCGTCAATATAATTCTTTTTCTTCCAAACTGGTACTCAGATCCAAACAAAATAGATTTGTTGCCTGGCCAGGCAATGAGTAGCAAAATACAAATTTACTCCAAAAACTATATCGATGACTAAATCTCAACAGTTTAGAGGTTTCTTTTTCCCCTTTAATTTCTAGCCACTGCCTCAACTGAATTAACAACAAAAAAACAAACAAAAAACCCCCACACAAACCTTAGGATCTGCCCTTCCCTACAGTTAATGTGGAAACCTCATACTGATATCAAAAGAAGAAATCTAATCTTGAACCTGAAATTTCATAGGCATACAATTAAAAAGACTTAATGAGCATGATCAATGACTTCTCGAATGATGGGGATTAGTTTTATGTTTCCTGTTGCTCTCATTCTACTTACATGTTCTTTGGCATCAAAGAGTCCTTTTATAAAAATGTCTTGAACAATAATCGATGTGATGAGCTTAAGGTGTGGGAGTGAGCACAGCAGATTTCCAAGCTGATAAAGACTCGAGCTCTTACCATCCTTTCTCTTCCTTGATGCACACAATTGAAGTATATAAGTACATTTGTTTTTTCTGGACTTTTCCACACCATGAACCAAGACAATAAAAGAAAGAAAACTCTTTCAAAATATCCAAGCCCAACTTCTGGCTGAGTCTCATCAGCTTCAAGAAACAGAGCTCTATGTCACTGCCAATTTGGGGAATTCTGTCCAAAATCCAGATGTGAGGATCCTAGGCAACACTACCAGTTGCTTTCTTCCTTTGGATAGTTAAAACATTTATTAAGAGCATTTATTATACTTTCTCCGAAAGCACTTTCTTAGGGAAACTAACACAATTTTCAGTCTAACTGATAATAAACTACAAAATACAAAAGACTTGACCACCTGAACAAGAGAGAATCTTCTAGCTCGATGGTCCTGTAAGCCTTGTGAGCTTGGTGACTAGGCGGGCATGAGTCGGTAGTTCCCTGAGAGGTGAATTGATTCCACAGGAACACAGAGCATCCAGGGACAGTAAGATAGTCTCCAGCAAAGGATTAGGCCCCAGATTACATACCCTCCTTCCTTGACAATGTAAAAAAAAAAAAAAAAAAATATATATATATATATATATATATATATATATATCTCACAGGTGGTATTATCATTTTGATTTTTACAGGCAAGGAAACTGAGGCATATAGAGGTGGAGTAACCTGCATGAAACCACAGAGGTCAACGAGGAGTTGAACAATATAGGCTTGTCCCCATGGGTGTAAGGGACCATGTCTTGGGCACAGAAATTTCTTTGATTGTTACTCAGCAAAACCTGTCATTCCAAGAGTATATTAGAGAAAAAAGGAGGAAGGGAAATCAGAAGTAGAAGCCCATACAACAGTGAGAGCCCTGGCCAACTCATTTGATTGTATCTTGTGGCCCTCAAGAGGCCCATGGCCATGTAAATACATCTGTGCAAGAAAAAATAGGCCTTTAGATGACTATTTTTAAGTCTCTCTCAATGGAAGAAAAGAAATAAATATATTGGTTGAAATGAATACCAATCTCAGCTCGATCCAAAAAAGAGAAATAGTTGGTTGTGATTAGCTACCGTGGTAATGAACTGATGCAGTAAGCCTAATAATGAGTTTATTTTAGAGATTTTTGTCTTTGCTATCTGACCATCAGCTACAGACCGAAGCCCAGCCAAGGATATGAAAGTTCAAGTGTAACTTGTCCTGGGGGATCTCTTTTCTTTCCTGACTGATTTATTTTTTAAACAAAACCCTACCTCTAGTATTGTTTCAAATTTAATATGGAGATTGGGTTCAGGAGTTTGAGGCTATTTCTTTCTATTTTGCACATGGTTGTTTTTCCCCCTCACTCATTTCCACAGCCTGAAGCCAGTCTTTTACAATGGAGAGCCAGGCCCACTTGGAATGGAGGCCACCTGGCTTAGGGGCGTTTGAAAAAGCTCTACAAAGCAGGGCTTTTAAAAGGATTTCCCTTCCTAAAAGTCAAGAGGCCCAAGAGGGATGTGGCCTTTGCCTGGACTCAGCATTGTCACTTTGGAAAGGTGTGGGCTGTTTGGCCAGAGGGACAGTGGCCCCCAGCCCTGGGGCGTGGGAAATGCTTCCAGACACGGGAGGGGTTGGGGGTGGTTCAGAGAGAGGGGTATCGAATTCCTGTTTAGCTACCCGGCTCCAGTCAGACATAAATAGGTGGGGGTGAAGGGCAGTTTGCCAGAGGAAGGGGGAGACAGGCCCCGGGCCCTGGCAGCCGAGGCCAACCCACTGAAGCGGCCTTCACCTGTCTTCACTCAGCTCCCCAGGGAGAGAAAATGCTTTCAGGGGACCACGGTGACCAGCAGGGCTGTCTGCTTGGCTGAATCAGCCTGTGTCAAACCAGTGGATTTCAACAAAAGAGGAGTGCTTGCAGGAAGAAGGGAGAGCTGCCAACGCGGAAACCATCACCCCCTTTTAGGAAGTACCTCATCTTTTAAAAGACCACCAGGGAATTGGTTTACTCAAGGGCAGTGGTGCATGGGGCCAGCACTGTGCCTGTGTGTGTGTGTGTGTGTGTGTGTGTGTGTGTGAGCGCGCGCACATGCGCGTGCCCACCTCTGTGTATGTGCATTCACACACACTTACACGCAGACCTAGGGCAGGGGCTCCCACGGGTAGCAGCTGCTTCGTTCTTTGACCATCTTTCTGAGTGACGGACATTAACCTTTTGTGGTCTAGAAAGAGGAGGCCAGAAATGCAGCTCGATTTTCTTTTCTCTAGGGCAGTGGTTCTCAACCTTCCTAATGCCGCGACCCTTTAATACAGTTCCTCATATTGTGATGACCCCCAATTTCATTGTTACAAATTGAACATAATTAAAGCATAGTGATTAATCACAAAAACAATATGTAATTATATGTGTGTTTTCTGATGGTCTTAGGTGACCCCTGTGAAAGGGTCATTCGACCCCCAAAGGGGTCGTGACCCACAGGTTGAGAACCGCTGCTCTAGGGCCAACAGGCCATTTGATCAATAAAACACAGGCCACCCCACCCTCTGCACTTCCTGCGGAAGGTTAACAGAAGTAGGGATTATGCAAAGAGACAGGCACTCCCCCAACTGGACAGTGGGCAAAAAGATGGTGTTGGCCTACTCTTTTGGGATTTTTTTTTTACTTTCATGGTATCTGGGTTAGAGTTTCCTTAATTTTTTAAGCCATTCTGCCAACAACCCTGATATTGGAGCTATGGGGAACCTATGTTCTTGGGGGCCATGGTGAGTTTTGCTGTTCAAAGGGTAACTCGAAAGTCTGGGACCTCCGAGGCGTAGCCCTGTTCCTCTTCCTACCCTGTGCTCTAAAGCATTTCTCTCAGAAGCAGCACCTGGAGGTAAATTTCTTGCTCCAGGGCTGGGGGAGGGGGATGATGGAGGGGGTAAGACAGAGTGAGAACAAAGCACCGATTGTTACGTTTCACCTGTTCTAAGTCTATATGAACAGGTGGCTGGGGGTCTCAGAGGGGAGGAGGGTAAATAATTTCCGCTTATACTATCTCTGCAGCCACAGCTTTGTGACAGCACGTGGGGAAGCTGCATTTGATAAAAGTCCAGAAGCCTTTGCCAGAGGGAACCAGGTGTGGCCTTCTCATAATTCGTCCTCCACTCAATTCTCTGCTTCCTTGTCTCTCTGGTTTTCTCCATACCTGGGAGCTCCAGCAGCCCCCTCGGGCCTCAGGAAGCCAGGTGAAACCATTCTGAAGAATTCTTTACCTCCCAGCCGGCTAAACAACACAGCTTAAGATGATCAAAATGAATTGCAACCTCGACTGCTCTCTAGAGCTTGTGCACAGCTCTGCCATGTGAGCTGCAGAGGGCTCAGCATTGCGCAGTCGCCTTTTTCTTCTTTTTGGAAAAGTCATGTGGGTTTCCCAGCTCCATGGATCCCCATTGCCTTTACACCACTGTTCTTCCCTAACATTTAGGTAATATTTTTAAAAGAGTCCCTGTGCAGTCTATGGAATATGGGGATTTCCTGAAGGGTGAATTTATCTGGGAGAGAGAAAGAGGATGCTGAGAAATTTGGTTCTTAGGGGAAGCCCAAGTACTTAGAAACATGTCTGTGAGGGGAAGCATTCCTAAGGCCTGGTGTTCCCCTGCATCCAGGCATATTCTCATAACTTTACATTAGCCATTTTAAACTCCATTACACTCATAGCTCAGTCCTCAGCAATAAGATCCACAGTGACATGTCCCACCTCTGGAGAAAAATTGTGAGCCATAGAAGGTCTAAAGTTGTTCCAGGCATGGCCTAAGCACCTTGGGGGTAAGGGCAGTCTGGTCCCATAAAATCTATGAACAAGGAAAAATCACTTCCTGTGGATAAATGCATGATGGAAAGTGATGTTGAGCAACAATAAGGAGATGTCTGGGCTTTTTCTTTTTCCCCCAATCTGCACCTCCCCCAAGTGGATCCATTGTTTTTTAGCAGAGAGCCAAGTGTTCAGTTCCTGGAGAGAGGGCAGTGGAGCAAAAGGCCTGTTTTTCCAATTAATCAATGAGCACAATGCAAGACTCATCAGACATATTAATTGGGGCATGCAGCGATTTCTGTGCATGGGTTGTCAAAGAGCGACCTCCAAACCATTGTCCACCTCTGTACCATCAACCCTGACTGCCCTGCCCTACATCTGCCCATCTATTCAGTCTGTGCACCATGGAACATAGCGATTTTTCCCCCTCTGTCTCCATGATCCCTTGTCTCCCACACAGTCTTTGGTGGTAGCTGGGATTTTCACACCTATGTCATTTCCTGGAGGAAAAAGGCCTTACATTTCTTAATTTCTCAGAACCTAACCCAGCATTTTTAATGCACTAGGGTTTGGCCTATGTATTCTAATTGAGGTGTAATCCCAGGGGTATTGGGTAGTCAGTCACCAGGACACTGGTGTTATAAGCAAAGCAACTCTGATCAAGGAAACCAGATCTAAAATGGTGTCATGGAGAGAGGG